ATTGGAGTGAAGAACAAAAATCATATGATCATCTCCATAGATGCAGCATTCAAGAAAATCCAGCACCCATTCGTGATAAACACCAAACAGAAAATTGGAATAGATGTTTTTATCTCAACCTGACAAAGGCTAGCTATGAAAAACCAACAGCCATCATCATACTATATCTGAATACCTTCATGCTCAAATCTGGAACAAGACACAGATGTCCATTACCACCACTCCTGTTCAACATAGTTACGGCAATATTAGCCAGAGAAAATAGACAAGAGAAAGATTGGAAAGGAAGAAGTGAAACTGTCATTATTTACTGATGATGTGACACTTTACATAGCAGACACAAACTACCCTGTTGGAAGACTTTTTGCCTTAGTTAACAGATTCAGTAGAGTAGCTGGATACGTTGTATAGAAAAAAACAATAGCCTACCTGTACACAAATAAAAGACTTACTGAGAGTGAAATTAGGGAAACAATTACTCACAATAGCATCCCAAGAAATGAAATCTCTAGGAATCAATCTAATGAAGGAAGCAAAAGACCTCTACATTCAAAACTATAGCGCCCTGTAAAGAGATATCAAAGAGGATTTCAGAAAACGGAAAGACATGCCCTTCTCCTGGGTAGGAGGAATCAACATAGTGAAAATGGCTATACTACCAAAACTGCTATACAGATTGAATGCAATTCAGGTTGAAATTCCAACAGTGTGTTTCACAGTACTAGAGAAAATAATCCAAAAATTCATTTGGAACCAGAAGAGACCTAGAATATCAAAAGAAATTTAAGGCAATAGACATGACAGGGCCTATCAAAATCCCCAACTTGAAAGTATACTATAAAGTTACGATGATAAAACAGCATGGCACTGACCTACAGATCTGAGGATTAGTGGATGCAGAAAGAACTCGTGACATACTCATCTACCTTATTTTTGAAAAAGAAGACAACCATTCTTCCTGGAAGAAAGATAGCCTCTTTAATGCATCGTGTTGATAAAATGGATTTTGGGCTGCAGTTTTAGCTCATAGGTTTGGTGGCCTGTTTTGCAAGTACAAGGACCCAAGTTCTATCCCTGGTACAAAGAACAAAAAACAAAAAAACAAACAAAAAAAACTTGATTTCCACCTGCGAAGGATTAAGAGTACACCCCTATCTTTTACTAAGTGTTGAACTAAAATTAAAGTGGATCAAAGATCTACATACAAAAACAGAAACATTAAACTTGCTAGAAGATAAGTTAGGTAGAACTTTGAAGATATTTGCACAGGAAAAGACTTTAGAAACAAAACCTCATTGGCATGCGAACTAGAACAGAGTATGAATAACTGGAAATCTCATCCAATTAAAAAGAAGAAACAATTCAAAATATGGGGAAAAATTGACCAGCTCTTCCTTGGACAAAGGTCTGGTTTGTAGAAAATATAAAGAATTTAAAAAACCCATACCTCCCAAATTTAAAGATCCTATCCAAAAAGGAGCATTTGAAATGAAAAGTCATATATCAGACAAAGTAGATATAGCAAATAAACATTTGAAAAACATGGTCAACACCACCATCATTCAAGAGATGGAGAAAAAAAACACTACGGAGATTCCACCTCACTTCAGAAACAATGGCTTCTACCATGAATTCAACGCCTAACAAATGCTGGCAGGGTTTCGTGGAGAAAGAAACTCTTCTCCATTATTGGAGCGAGTGCACATTGGTGTAACCCCATTGGCAATCAATGTTGAGATACCTTAAATGATTATAGTTGCACATCCCATTTTACCAATCTATTCCTCCACTGGGTATCTTCCCAAAATAATTAAACGAATAATCCACAAAGATAAATCCACAACCATGTTTGTAGTAGCACAGTTCATAATAGTTAAATCTTGGAAACAGCCAAAATGTCCATGGACTGAAGATTGGATAAAGATGTGTTTTTTTATTTATAAAATAGAGTACTAATCAGCCATAAAGAAGGAGAAACTAAGGACCTTTAAAGATAAATGGATGTACATTGAAGTGATACTCTTAAGTGAAATAAATAGAACAGACAGGCCTAAATACTGAATGGCTTCACTGGTGTGAGATACTAAATGTATAAATAAGGATCAAACTGTATATTTCATAAGTGAAATAGGTCAAAGCAGTATAAAGTTGTATGGGAAGGGGAAGGGATAGTGGAAAAGAAAGAAGGGATAAGAACTATTGAGGCCATAGTCTTCAATGAAATAAGTAGGACACACATGTAAATACTGGATAGTTTATCAGGTGTGAAAAACCAAAAGTGTCAATAAAATTGTTTGTATAATTGATGATATGAAATAGGAAAAAAAGGGCTAAAGGAGTAGGGGAAGTAGGAAGGGTTAAGGAAATTACATAAGGGAAAAGAAAAAAACATGAGAAAAGGAAAAAAATGCAAACAAAGTCTTTGTAAATAGGGAAGGGAGGTAAGGGTGAAGGGAAGGCAGGGGTATGGAAAAGGAGGAAGCAAGAAACATCATGTAAAGATATAAAATCCCAATGATGAATGTGACTGTACTGTATACACAAAAAGTTCCAATAAACTTCATGAATAAAAAAAGATTAGGCAGCAAGATAAGCAACAAGTTTAGCATTTCAGAGTGAACAAGTTAAGGTCCTTCCCTGTACCTGCTTGTCTGTATTTTATATTGCCCTCAGCAAATGCTATCTTGCCTCAGGAGCACTGTGATTATGGCTTTCCCACACAGCCAGGAAGTCTGTACCTTTTACATACACCTCTCTTCCCGAGGCAAGGAATCCCCTGCACTCACGATTGTCGGGCCTGTAGCCTGGCCCTTACCAATGTATACATATTATGGCCAGTCTCCAACTAGCTATTGTGAAAAACACATAAGGTGACAAATGCTGGTGAGGATGTGAGGAAAAAGAAACCTCAAATGCTTTTTCTGTCAATGTAAATGAATGCAGGCATTACAAAAAATAGTATGCAGGTTCTTCAAAAAATCTAAAATAGAACTACCCCATGATCCAGCAGCCATATTAATGTAATTTTATCTGAAGGATATGCTATTAGCTGCCCAACTTGTGTGCACATTCCCTTTATCATAGCAGCACCCTTCAAAATAGTGAAGGATTGTCATCAACTGTTATCAGATGAATAAAGAAATGTACCACACGTACATCATCCAGACATAAGAAGAAGTGAACCCTGATATTTGTTACATCATGGAACAAACTCCTTGACATTAGAAGTGAAAGTAAAGGAGACAGACAGAGGAAGCGAACACCACACAAGTTCACAAGTTATATATGGATGGATCTCTGAAAAGCAGAACTCATGGAATCTCAGCAAGATGACAGCCAAGAGAAAGTGGGGGGCAGGTTTAGATAAGTTAGGGTCCAAGTGAGCATTTCAGCTAAGACAGGAATAAGTACAAGAGATCTGTTTTACAACATCATGAATATGGTTGATAAAAACAGGTTGTGTGCTTCAGAAAAATGGAAAGTTATCAAAAGGAATTGAGAAAATAGTTGCAAAATACAGATATAAGTCAAAATTCCAAACTACGTAATGACCTACTCCATGTCAGAAGCAAAAGGACCATCTACACGAATTGCCAAATGAGAGAAGGGTCAATGAGATAATTATCAGAAAATATATTTACTGCCAACAAGTACCTGAAAGGGTGCTCAATTCATGGTACAGAAACGCAAATGAAAACACACTGAGAGAGCCCTTCAGAGCCAAAAATTGCACTTTCCACTTTAAAAATATTGCCAAGCATTAGCAAAGATGTGAGGACAACAGAAACTTTATACGTTAGAATGTTTTAAAAATCCAGCTACGATAAAAATGCTTTCGCAGCTGCCCAAAGAATTAAATTCGTCATCACTATACGACACAGCTCTCCACCTGCTATCCATATGGCCCAAATAATCGAGAAGCAGTACACTCCTGTGCTGCTTAGCAGAGAGGAGAGGTTGTGAGAAAAGCACCACTAGGTAATGCTGTTATCATACAAAGTTTGCAGAGTGCATTTGTACCCAAGGACCTGGCTCTGACCTCTCTCGGAAATCTAACGTTATGGGGCCACTGTTATGTCCACAGTCTGCCACTTAGCAAAACCCCGCTTCTCTCGGAAATCTAACCTTATGGGGCCACTGTTATGTGCACAGTCTGCCACTTAGCAAAACCCCACTGAAGAACACGACTGCATGCAAACAAATGTGCATGCACAACCACAGCTGTGCTAGTCACTCTATTGAAAGACGGAAATGGCTCAAATATCCATCGGTGCATGATTGGATGAAAAACTTGTAGTGTACATTTAACGTGAAATATTATTCAGTCACAGACAGCAAGAAAACATGTTAAGCGGTGAGAACTAAGATGGAGAAAAGGAAGTAGGAGAATGGAAGTGGAAAACAGAGGGAAGAATGAATGAGGAGGAAGAGGAGAGCAGAGATCACAAAGAATAAAACACTCTTTCAGGAGTTCTCCTAGGCATTGATATCGGTAGGAACCGTATATGAAAACGTGCTTTCAAACCTAGACTCCAGCATTTGTGCTCAAAAATCTGATATTTCAAGAGGCCCAAAATGATTTATCTGGTGGAAATATAATAGCACCCGCTCAAAGAAATAGAGTCCAGGCCATCAAAAGAGACAGACATGCTATAGTTTGGAGCTGGGAATATTTGTTTTTAGTAGTGCAATTCTGTGAATTGTGCATCCAATTGTTGTTGCTACCACAAGAGGGAAAGTAAACATAGGAATGTGTGCTATTTCAGGTCACAGAGGTCATGAATGCCCGAATTAGATTCTCTCCTTCTTGCCCTAATAAACTCATAAAAATACAGGGAGGCACAGTCCTGATATGGCTGTCACTCTGATGGTCACCATTCCATTTCCTCCAAGGAATGCAAGAGGGAAATCAAATGAAAATGAGAAATATTAATATTTAAACCCAGTAATACATTTTGAGGGAACCATGAAACCAGAAACCAAGGGGGTGGGATGTTTCTTCTTTAAGTTGATGTGGGAAAATATATATGTAGCATATAAAAAGAGATGGGAATTTGAAACCTTATGGATTACTTATAATAAAAGTTACAAGGTTAAAAGGAAAGTTAGGGAGTTACAAGGAAAATAATGAGAATTCTTGCAGAGAAATAAATATCCAAATATACAAAAGCAAGGCTTTAGGGAATGGCGAGAGCAAGGTATATTTAAAAGTCATAGCTACTGCACAATGTGCGTAACATCTGAGTTCAGTGGTCAATCAGAGAAGAGGCTGCTCTGCTGAGGAGTCTGTCCAGGGCCCCCTTCACATCCTTGTTCCTCAGGCTGTAGATGAAGGGGTTCAGCATGGGGGTCACCACCGTGTACAGCACAGAGGCGATCATGCTTGCCCGAGAAGAATGGGTCACAGCAGAGCTGAGGTTCACCCCAACTCCTGTCCCATAGAACAAGGACACCACGCACAGGTGAGACCCACAAGTGGAAAATGCTTTATACCTGCTTGCAGCGGAGGACATTCTCAGTAAGGAAGAGATAATCTGAGAGTAAGAGTAGAGGATCCCTGTGACAGGCAGTACACCCAGCAGTGCAGTCGTCACATATACAAAGATGGCATTGACAAGGGTACTGGAGTTGGCTGCCTTGAGAACCTGAGCCAGGTCACAGAAGAAATGGGGAATCTCGGTGACTGTGGAGAAAGCGAGATGCTTCATCAGTAGAAGGTGGATCAGTGAAACCCAGGACGTGATGATCCAACAGAGCAGAACTAAAATGCCACAGAACTGAGGGTTCATGATGACTGTGTATTTCAGTGGGTAGCAGATGGCCACAAAGCGGTCATAGGCCATCACAGTCAGAAGGAAATCATCCATTATAGCAAAATTATTTGAAAAGTATACCTGAGTGAGGCATCCTGCATAGGAGATGCCTTTGCTATGTGCCTGGATGTTTAGCAGCATCTTTGGGACCGTGGTGGAGGTGAAACAGATGTCCACAAAGGACAGGTTGGAGAGGAAGAAGTACATGGGGGTGTGGAGGTGGGAGTCAGAGCTGACGGCCAGGATGATGAGCAGGTTCCCGAGCACAGCGACCAGGTACATGGACAGGAACAGTCCAAAAAGAAGGGGCTGCAGTTCTGCATCTTTTGAAAGGCCCAGGAGGAGGAATTCTAAGAAATATGTATAGTTTGCTCCAGCCATGTGGCTGGTACATATGCTGGGAAGGAAGAAAATGCAATCTTTAAGGAAAGCCATCTGCCACCTCAAACACTTATCACTTTACAGTAGGATTTATGGATAGATGTTCTTCATTGTCTAGTAGACCCAGCCAGTGAACATGATTCAATCAGCCAAGTGTCTCATTTTTATTTTAATATTTTATATTAAAAGTTATATATTTTCAAATGTGTATATCTCAAATATAATATATATATATATATATATATATGATTATTGAGAACTTTTAAATTTAGAGAAAATCACTCCACCATCATTCTTGTATGTATCTATGAACATCAATGCATTTTTTTTTAAATTAAGTTTATTGGTACATTTAGGGATACAGTACAGTTACAGTCATTGTTGGGATCATGTACCTTTACATGGCAAGTCTTGATTCTCATTTTTTTCCCCTTACCTCTGCCCTCCCTTCACCCCCTCC